TCATGGAAGTGTTTGCTATGACTTGTTCCACAGCCCTAATGGTGAGCGGTGAGGAGTGGCCCAAAGCGGCTGCGACAACACTGGAGTACATGGGGCAGGGTTGTTAACTGGGCAAGATCTGCAAGGGAAGACTCCACGAAGCAGCACCGGAGGCTATGAGAAGACAGAAGCTCACGCTAGTTTGTCCTGATATGGTATCTCCCCGCAGCACCTCTCACTCACTCCCTCTGCTGCGTGCCCCAAAATTCCTTGTATTCTCAGGAAAATTCTGACTGTGCATAGTAGAGTGAATTCGAGGTCACGCCACTGTCATTTTTCCTCGATACTCTGCTACAATTTCTTCAGGTATCTCGTGTTGGTCCAATGTTCCATGAAACGTGCATCTCGAGGTGAAATAGCCCCTCGAGTGGTTGATTAAGGGCATTTTTACCGGACAATTGCCATTGATATTTTGCCCATGTGGCAGTAATGCAATGCTAGTCTAGTCTGTGGTAAACTACCCGAGCATTTGGCTGTGTGGACACCGTTCAGTAGCGTACGACAAGAGAAGAGTTGCCACTGTAGGTGTCAACGGTCCATTGAAACCAGATCAGTTGCATTGATGATGTCGGTGTCCTCCCAAGATGCAGCAGCCCAGTAGCCCCTGCACTTCGACGCAGACTCATAGACAGGACTCATGTGCTCGACACATCTCAGGATCATTGTATCGTCATATTTAAGCAATAAGTGGTGTTGGGGCGACGGGATTTTGTGCTGCCATTACCAGCGGCACGCAGCAAAGGCCTTGACCATCGCTATCACAGCGTGAAGCTGTAGCTGGGCATTTTGTAATTTTAACAGCTGTCACCACGCCAACCTCTTAAGATATTTAAACATTAAATGTTTGAGTTTGGGTAGATTCTCAAGAAGGAAGCAAAGCCTTACATGGGCATCTTTGTCAAAAGGGACTCTTGAATGTGTGTGTCCTTGTGCTATCGTTACTGAGGAGAACAAATAGCGCCCACGGGTCTCTATGCAAAGCCAGGGAGAGGCCGCAGGCTCTGCGCGGCCCAGGGCCCTGGCGCAGGTGGCGCCGCGCGTCTCTGGCAGACAGTGGCCCTCACCCTTAGCGGCAGTGCCGCACTGGCGGTTTCCCACTGACCCTTATTTAATAGATGTATTACAATGACGATAATCCTTTACGAACAAACATCCGTTTTTACAAGTAGGGCAGCATCTGTGTGCCTCCTGTGAGGGGGCGTCCAGCTGTGATTTGGCGTCCGCGTTCGGCGCGAGGTCCCTGTTTTTATCTCGGGTTATCGTCGCTCAGGGACCCAGGGGCACAGCGTGCTCGGAGAATATGGCCAAGCAACGCTGATGGTGATGGGGCCACTCTTGCCTGCGAACCCATCCGGCAGTTTCTGGCCTCTGGAAATGTGGCCACCAACATGCGCTTTCCTGTCTCAACTTGTCCTGCGGATTGTCTCGTGCGTCGCGGTTTATGCAGGTGGCACGGTCCAGTAATATGAATTCCTCACTCGAGTTACGTGTTATTTATGCGGCATGCAGAGGCAGCTGGTTTTAATATTTTTTCCCAATTTCAGGATCTTGTATCGTACTCATTCCCGATTGTGTTACGAGCGTAATAAAGTACATAGCCGTGAGGCAGCAACTGGAAAGATTAAGTCTTAGAGCTCCTTACAGGATGACCACTCCAGAGTGCATGTGTGTGAGCCTCATGCTGGCTGTTAGCACACACGGCATGAGGCTTTTGTGATAATTTTAATGCAGTTTAGTTAACCTTAGTTTACTGTAAAAAATGTCTTAAATGCGAGAGGTTTAATTATGAAATTCATTAAATTTGTGTAACATATGCCTTGTAACTACAATAGACTGCAACATGGAAATGGGAGCATCTGAACGTGAACTGACAAGTGTGGTACAACTCACCCTGGGCAGCCGCGTGGTGCACGAGTGACACTGGCACCTCGCAGAAAGGACCTGGGGTTGATTCCCCACTTGGCTGCCTTTCTGTGTGCAGTTTGTATGCTCCCCCCATGTCCTGCATGGGTTTTCTCCAGGTTTCCCGGTTTCCTCTCATAATTAAAAAAACCTATACAATATAACTGGTGTTGCTGAAATGTCACTTAACCACTGACTGTCGTGGCTAAAAAGCAAGAACAAAGACACGATGGAATTGTACAGAAAAAACCGAGTGACCGATAACCTTGCATATATTAACAAGCTTAGCCATCTCCTTACCTCTAAAAAGATGAGTCCATGCTCTTGCTCCTTAATTCTAGCAGGTCTGTTTAACTCGTAGACTTTCACACCCAATGTTATGATTGATTCGTTGAGTCAGATCACGGGGGTACAATGCCCATTTGTGTCGTACATCCTTCTTCACCCGACACAGCCACCAGACAATGGGCGTCCCGGCCTTATCTCATGTGGCCCCTTCGGCTGTGAAATTAACTTCTATGAGATATTCAGTCTGCCGAGTCCCTCTTTATTTAAGTCTTATTTCTCAAAGGCATTTTCACTTCACAAAAAAACATGTATTTTCACCCATGGGGTGTTCTCATCACGAACATGCATGGCTTTTATTATGTTTTCACTATTTGTCAAGTTATTTATGTTTATGCTCCATACAACACCTTGTCACCTCAGGGTGTAAGGTTCTTTACAAGTGTAAATTATTATTAAACGTGCAAATTTGTATTGAAGAGCAGGTCCTCAACATTTAATAATTTTATTCACAACAATGTTCAGCGTTGTGGATTGTTCTTCAATACACCAGTGCACTGAAGTAATAAAAATAGGTGCGTTTGTTCACGTGACAACTTTATTTGGCAGTCGATTGGAGGAGGGTGTACGACACACATTGATATCACAATCGTTGGATCTGACCCAAAATATTCAATTGTGAATCCAGCAAGTCTGTCCCTTGTTCTCGTCGCAGACCTCGGGCTAGCCTCCCTTTCTAGGTCTTGGTTTGCACCGGGGGCCGAAGTAAGGCTGGACACGGTTCCACGCCGACCCGTGGCCACTGCTGCTCAAGGAGCCTGGCTTCTAGGGTGGCCCAAGTGCGGCCACCGCTGTTCTACCTCACCCTGCGTCCACCCCCACTAATCCCCGCCCGCCAGGCTGCTTTGGTTGGGCAAGATATGTTGGCAAAGGTGAACTCGGCCTCATTGACGTTGACAACGCAATGATGCGATCGCTGACCGAGCCTGTCTGCATGTGGACAGAGCCACGGGTCACCTCATCTCACGCGTCTCTTCATCAAGGGAGGTGGGGGGGGGGGGGGCGCATCGGGCACGGTGTGTCGCTGTCTTTAACTAAGAGTGCTGTCGCGGTTACACTTGTCAGGAATTTGGAATGTTACACGGAACTTTTCGTTTTAAACTGATGTCAACTTTGCTTCGTCAATTCGGTTATGTGTTGTATGTCAGGGACGCTGTACAATAAACCTTTAATTAAGGCTGGTGACATTGCATGACTGACACTGCGGGGGGTATCGGGGCAATGCATGGAGTCGGAAGGAAGGGGGGTTGGGCGGCAGATGGAGCATATCGCCCCGATCCCCAGATCAGAAGGGGGGCAGTCTGTATGGTTGCAATCCTGGGAATGAGTTTGTGTTGGCGATGGAGCGCCAAGCCCTTCTCCTCTCACCCATAGCAGCCCAGCAGGAGGCCCAACACCATCCCTGTCCCCAATCTTACCCCGAGCCACAACTCTGATCTCTAACCCAACACCACCATTAACCCTATTCATGTGACTACTATCTCCAAGGATCCCTATTACTAGCACGAACCCTATCCCCGATTTTATGATAATTTTACCTTATATCACGCACAATATTCAGTCACTTTCGCACCTACGATTAGCACGGTTGTATGTGTATGGTGCGAAAGACGGTCAACATACATACCAAATTAGGTATTTCGTGATCGTAAATGAAATATGCGGATCGAAAATAAAATTGCAAATAGAGAGCACGGGGTGCCAGAACAAGTGAGGTCCATGTGCAAACTCTGGTTTAATAGCAACATAAATCGGGGGGCTGAAGGGGGGGAGCCAAGCTGTAGTTGAGAGGCACGTGTATTCCTGGAAATTGAGCAGCAAAGCAAACATTATTTTTACCAAAGTGTTAACAAAATGAGTAGGAATAAGGAGGCACTTCTGATGCTATGGAAGGGAGAGGAAATGTTAATTGGCGGATTTTTTTGTTGTAAGAGGACGTTTAGGATGAACACAGCCCAGTGGTGGTTCCTTATTTGTCCAGAGAGGGCAGTGTTAGATTCTCTAGGGGGGCACAACAACAGAAGGCGCAGTCGGCGTCAATTAATCCGGAGCTGTCCGGGGCTGAGCCCCAGAATGTTCATCCCCATCCCGCCGCTGTAGGCATCGTGGGGGGCGTTGCACATTGTCGGGATCTCAGCCCCAGGCAGCTCCGGATAAAATTAAGTCGTGACTTGCATACGACATTCGTTGAAGAGGAATTCATTTGTAACTTTCCGCTCCTTAAAATATTCCACGAGAGTTTCCCCGGGTGGAGGTCGCCAATGACGGCGCCTCACGCGGTTGTGACGAATATAAATGCCGCGTCCATAATTACATTTATATCGCGATTTTCCTCAAGGATCTCAAAGCGATGTACAGGGCACAGCAGCAGACACTGAGCATAAAACAAATATAAATAAATACATTTTAAAAATAATTTGCTCAAAATCCATGCCGGAAGGGTGGCTCACGGCGGGGTTCGCAATTTGTGGCTCATGCCCCACCCCGCCCCTTAGTCACGTGCTGCCGCCCGCATTTTCTGCAGTGGAAATAACCGATCACGCCGCGATCACGTGAACATATTGCTCCCATTGGCCCACGCACAACCACACGATCGCTTCTTATTGGCTATGGTGTCGGGTGCCCGCCCTTTTCTCCCGCGAGCCGCGCTCTTATTGGCTACTTGGGCGCACCGCCCCTGAATGCGCGCTTATAAAAGCGCGTCTCGTTGGGCGAGGCACCCGAGCCCAGGGGGAGATAGCGGTGGAAGGTTCGCGTCAATCTGATTCAAATTCGATCATTCATTAATTCTGAATTAATTACCACTGCTATAAGAGACTTAAGTCGTGTTGGCTTCATTGCCAGGCGAACAGAGCAGACGAGGTTACTAAGTACAGGAGAAACAGGGTTTATACAGGGAGCATAGCACAACAATTAACTCATTACGTAAGGGTTATTAGTCTATAAGACAGAAACCAAGTACGTGTACTGCACATTAGATTGCAAACTACTTCCGATTAGCACGGTTGGCTACGTACGGTGCGAAAGAAGTCCATCGTACTTAACGGACGGGCTCCTGGCTGCACTCGACACGGTGACTTGCAGAACCAGAGTACGAAAGCGACGGCGATTATTTAATTATCACTTCAGTGTCCGGCACTAACGCAGATACCGAAGTAGCGTAGACTGGGTTACTCTATATCCAGAGCAAGTACTGCAGACGAATACGAAGACCAATTAGTTACAGAGTATATGACTTCGTGCTCTAGACTCCAAAGCAAAAGCCACTACTGAGTGCACTCCACACGACGACTTGCATCCGAGTAGTTTGAGACACGGAACATTGTGGGCACAGACCTCGCTGGGGACTCGGAGTGGCGGAGATCCGTGACACGACAGACCCCGACTGCTCTGGAGATCGTCAGTCGTCGACGAAAGCCGCCTCACAACCTCGGTGATGAGCCACCTTGCATCGCACGACACGTATCTTCAATATTGCGTTGTGCTTGCGGAGTGGTTGTGGTTGTGTTGTGCTTTACAGCAATCTATTTAGTCGTTGTGGCGACGCGTGCCACTTGCAAATGAGACTCCGACCCTGGCCTCTCGAGTTCTCGGCTGGGTGAACGCGTGATTTGAAACAAGAGTGGTGGTCTCTGTGGCCAGCAGCAGAAACACTTTACAATGTCCCTTAATAGCCGGTGATTGGAATCTGAGTGTGGCGGGTTTGTTTGATGTGACCGTGTCCATGGCGAGGCTTCAGGTTTGTTTTGTCTAACGGGGGGAGAACTCGAGAGACGAGGAGAGTCATTGGCGTGACCTGGGTGGTGGTCGTCACATCCACGGCTCACTGGGGGCACGCCGAGTGAGCCCACGTCGGGGGTGCCCCCAGGGTGAGTCCGTGACACGACACCACCCTGGCGAGTCGAGCTGTAGCTACGGAGTCCGTGACACGACACCACCCTGGCGAGTCGAGCTGTAGCTACGGAGTCCGTGACACGACACCACCCTGGCGAGTCGAGCTGTAGCTACGGAGTCCGTGACACGACACCACCCTGGCGAGTCGAGCTGTAGCTACGGAGTCCGTGACACGACACCACCCTGGCGAGTCGAGCTGTAGCTACGGAGTTCCTGAACCTGGCGCGGTACCGCGAGGCGACACTTACTGTGACGGGGCAGAGCCGAGACGCGGTGCCTCTCGGCTCTAAGCGAGGTCGCCACAGTTTGTAAACGTTACAGAATCACAAGTTTATTTCCCGACTAAAGGTAAAGCTAAGAAGCAACTTTTCAAGGGCGACTCGGCAGGCAGACATCAAGTCGTTACACAATTACAGATGTAAAGGAACGTAATAGCAGTGATGTTAGCGAAGACGCACTGTGAGTGTCTTGGATGACGGCATTCAGCCACCGAGTCGCGCGTGGCGTGGAATGTTGGAGACGGCGGTGTCTGTGGTGGTGCAGGGTGGTGGGGATTGGGCGTGGAGGGGTGCAGAGGTGAGTTGGTGGTGGTTATGGTGACGTGTAACAATAGTTTGCAATGCAGTTGGTAGTGGAGGACACCCTGGATGGGGTTTTGGTCGTAGAAGGATGTTGGTGTTTGTGGTGGAAGGTTCGGGTGATATTGGTAAATGTAGGGTGGCTTCGATAGTTCTGGAATGCAGTTGGTAGTGGAGGCTTCGGCCGATTGTGAACGCGTCGTTTGACCGCTGAACCGGCCACTGTCCACTACCCCATGCCATGGAATACGCGAGCCCCGACAAAGCCTGCCAAGTCGCATCAAGCAACGCCTCGTTCTTTATGGCCTATGAGGGGCACGGTGGAAGCGGCACGGCGAAAGTGGCACGGCGAAAGTGGACTCGTTTAGTGCGCTTTGTATAACGGGGGCATGGCCTCTTGTGCTGATCGTCAGAGAAAGTTTAAAATGGAAAGTTAGAGAGATTGTGACCATTAAGGGTGCATGTGGCAGGGTAACGCGAGCCGGGCCTTCTGACGGGGGGGGGGGGGATAGACACATTCCTGTGGGTTCGTGACCACCACCTTGTGTGCTGGAGCAGCTCCACTTGAGCTTCGCATCACTGCGTCTCTACGTGCACATTAACATCCACGTGGTTGTTTTACATGATTTGTTTTTGTCAGGTGAGAACTCAAGAGACCAGAAGTTTTACATTCTCACGAGTGACGCGGGTAACTAAATTTAAGGATTCATATTCTTGGTTCTTTAGGTAAAGTCACGTAGAAGGGAAGTAATAAAATAATACAAATAAAATAATACTAATTCTCACGACGTTTCGGCCACAACGCAAGCAGCCGTCCTCAGGTGAAGAACAGAGCTGTGGAAAAGACAGCGTCATTCTGTCTCTCCGACAGCTCCTCCGTTCTTCACCTGTCCACTATCCCATTCCACGTCGTGATAATTTTTTATGTTTTATTTTTATTATTTCCCTTCCACGTGACTTTACCGAAAGAACCAAGAATATGAATCCCTACAGTCACGAAAGCTTTAAATCGAAATTAAAATTCAAGGAGTGGTGACATTTGAACGCTTATTGGTAGAATAGATGCACATCCACATGCTCAGTGGTCAAAGTTGCCGCATTGATACAAGTAGTAGGTCCAAATATTTAATATTTGGTATCGCTGTGGTGGTGGTGCCGCTGGTGTATTAGGTCTGTTTAGGTCAGGAATGTGTTTGGGCCACTGCTCGTGGTGGCACGGGATCGTATTAATCCCTCAACTTTAATCTGGTGGCTTTCGCGGCAGACCGTGGTGATGTCATGGATTCCATGTGAATGGAGTGATGCGTTTCCGTTGTTTCCACAGTATCTTGTTTCCACAGTCTCATACTTGTCAGCACATGCCTTGTGCCAAATGCTCTTGAGTCACGCTTCAGACATGAAACAATAATATGGTCGGTACCTGATTCGAGTGGTGGTGATGCAATGCGTTGGAAATGTAAATAACCGCACTCGCGTGCAGTGCTGTATATCCATTGTGGGAGTTCAGATTACATGCAGTGCCGAAGATGTTGACATACGCTGGGGTGGGGGGGATGCGTGTGTTTAGAAGTGGTACCTCCCTGCAGTGCAAGTGAATCGGCTGGAGAAGGCTGGCAGTCCACTGTAGTGTTCTGTCTTCATCAGTAGACTTGGGTAGGACGCGTTATGGGGATAAGGGACACGATGGACGATAGTCAAGACTTAACAATGGAGTGGCAGCCATGGAGTAAAACGCAGATGGATTGTTGCTTCGCAAGACCATGAAAGCTTGCGGGAACTTGGGGGTATGTCTTCATGCAGCAGTGGATTGGGGTTGGGTCGATCTTACACAACAAATACCTCTTGTGGATAATATTGGTGGCGAAAGCTTACGTGTTAAAATTCCATAAATGTTGAGCTCATCTTTCTACTGTCCATCGTGATTTAAGCACCCTCGGTTTCTGAATACAGTATGCATCTAGTTTTAAGTGCAATTCAAATGGTATGGTAAACGCAGTTAGTACCGTTTTAAAACCTGTAGATTAACTACCTTTGCGTACTGGTTATAACAATGGACTTGCAAACCAGAGGTCGCCAATTATATTCCAACTCCCATTGTGGCATTTGAAACAATGGTGCGAGTTTTTCGAATCTCCTGTGTTTGTCCACGCAGCAATATAAACACCACAGTCAGTTGGTGGACATGTCGTGTGTCGTTCACCGCTTCCAACGCTTAGTCAACGGAGAAGAGTAGACCAAATACCCTCTCGGGTTCGCTCTGGTGGAGGCCCTTCTGTCAGCAGTGGCATGTGAGGAATTGCAGGAAACTTAAGTAATCCCTCCGCATGTCACAACGAAGAGAAACCGCATGGCGCCAGTGTGACGACAGACTTGCAGAAGTGACTGTGTGTATATGGCCCAAGTGGTGACGCGTTGAGGGGACAGTGTTGCATCAGCTTGGGTGAAGATATTGGGTGGGGTGTGGACAGACAGGACGAGGGTGGCCCCTACGCCCAGCCCTGCTGCCGATGCCCTTAAGCAAATACAGTAGAGGGAAGTTAAGTGAAGCGGTTTGCACATAGTGGCGGTTACATTATCTAAATAAAGTAGCGGGTATTGGTTTCCTGTCTAGGTTTACCAGTGGGTTTCTGTGTCAAGGCTTACCGTGTGAACGCGGAAGAGTTATGAGGCAGTAAATATTACATTCATGGCTCGGTATGCTGAGGGTTGTGTATCTTGTGTCTACTGTGTCGTCCTTTCGTTGATATTCAGCTAATGGTCTAACTTTCTTCTTACAGATTTGACGCATTTTCCAACGACTAGCTCTACCCTTCAGTTGACTTCAATAGCATGGCGGACAAGCAAATCAGGTATGTGGAATACGGTTCTGGATGCACGTCGATTTCCGAGTTGGGTCCTACACTGGCAAATGCTGCTTTGTTCATTTAGTGGTTAAGTGCAGAATTTCCGTTTTGGATTTTTTAAATTAAAAAATACTTTTTCCTCATTTCAGTGCCTTAATAAATGGCAGCTCACTTATACATTGCCACTCATGGTCTCTGCGAGCCAACTCATTGTGAAGAATTTGTTCACTGATAGTTTGAAAGTAGTTCGCAGCTTTTTAAGTATTCATGGTATCACAATCAAGGAAGGCATTTGGCCATTTCTAATGGGAATGTTTAGAAAACTGCACAAGATGTTTAACGTAGTAAAGCTGCTCCACTTTGCGCGATGCTTGTCTTCACAGTTTGCCAGCGAAGCTCATTAATGGTGGCGTGGCTGGCTTGATTGGCGTGACGTGCGTCTTCCCCATCGACCTGGCCAAAACCAGGCTACAGAACCAGCGACAGGGCCAGCGGGTATACCGCAGCATGTGAGCAAGTGCACGCACCCATTCACTGCTACCCAATACACACCCAGCGTCAAAGACAAAGATCCCCGCTGTAGCCTTTACAGGCTGTTTGCGCAAGTGTTGTGAAGAGAGCGCACATGAAGGCGGTGGGTGGCCGGCACTGCACCTGGCCGCATGTCTCTCTAGTGGTGATGTTTACAAACCCCACCAGGTACTGATTTGAGGCGAAGTCGACCTAGGGAAGGGCCCAGGACCGGTTCAGATAATCGTCACTGGTGTTTGCCGTGCCTAGTTCGTAGTGCGGCGCGCCAACCGCTACGCTACCGCTCCACTCCACTACCTCCACACACCCATCCAACCTACACCCATACATACCCAGTTTCACACCCCCATCCACCTCTCCATCTACAAGCACCCTCATCCTGTTGGTATTCTTCTGGGAAATGTATCCGTCACGCATTTACAGTGGGTCTAGAAGCACTATAAATAGAGATGTGTTGCGTGAGCCATGTGTGATTTCTAATAGTGTGATTTCTAATTGCATAGGTTTGATTGCCTGGTAAAGACGGTGCGTAGTGAGGGCGTGTTCGGCATGTACAGAGGTAAGCTTTTAAGTTTCTCACTGTAACCTTTTATGATTGTTTTCATCCTAAAGCTCAAAACTATATTGGAAGGGAAATTGATTACCAGAATTGGCTGCAGAGAATCTTGCTGCCTATAATAAATGGGATGCTAACAGATACAAACGTGAGTCGTGAATAGCATTGCTAAGCAAGTAAACTGTCACTCTGTGGAAAGTGTTTTTAAAGATGATTTTAAAAATATGACAGTATAAGCTTTGTTGGATACTGGGCTTTTGCCAGCTTAGCTGGCTCTGGACAGGATGTATTTCACTGGACACCTCACAAATGACATGCTCCATCTGGAGGGGTTTTCCAGTTGAAATATTTATATACTGAGGATGGGGAATTGCATGTATGGGCAGTCAAAACGCGGTTAACACGGTCAGCACGGGTTTCTTGATATGATACAGTGTTCACCGATTTATTTGGGATTCTGTTGAAATCTTAGTTTGACATGGAACATGGCATGTACCAACCCGGCCTAGTGGTCGTGGGGCTGGCTGCACCTGTAAGATGCAGAAGGCCCAGAGGCCTCGCTGACCGAAAAGGTAGAGGCCGTGCGCAGTCCACGTGGCGTGCACGCAGAGCCCGGCTGCGAAATGTGCTGACTGTGTGGCCGCGTGTGGGCGCGCCGCTTTGTGTGCTTGTTGCAACTGTGTTTTTCATATTGCAGACACTGGGATCAGTTGATTCCTTTGCTCACTGGTCTCCATGGGACTGACGGCTAGCCAATCAGGCGAGGCCCCCAAGGATCATACTGTACTGTTTTTATTAATGGATTTGTCTCCCACTCTCTCTGCCGTACGAATTGTGGCGATGCCTCTTGCTCAGTTACCCTGCGACCTCCTCTACTCCGCTCCTCCCTTGTTAACGAGCCCTGTCTGGGTTCGTTCTCCTGAACCCTTGCATTTCAGTCCTGTCCTTGATGGTCTTCATCAGTTTACTTTTCTCTCAGCTAAAATCTGAAGATAATTTTCTATTAAACGTTTAATTTTAAGTTTGTATTATAACATTTTCTAACAAGTAATCCATGTTAACTGCAGTAATGCTGTGACAGTAATTGCACATTTATAGTGTTGATTTTGCGTACATAATGGGAAATGTTTAAGGTTTTCATTTAAAATAATGTTTCACTATTTTATGAGGATTACGTAAACCTTTGCACAGTGGTGTTTTGCTACGATTTGTAATTTCCCCTAGCGCCGTCTCGACAGTTCTGAACGCCTTTGACTACTCGACCTTGGCCTCCTTCTGGCTCACACTGCACTCATCCGGTTATGTGTGGCTGCCTCTCTGAATCTTCTTTTTCTCTTGCATGCTCTTTCTTACAGTAAATGGCTGTAGTTGACCATGTTTATCTAAATAAGGGTGCACCCGGCTCTGCTGGCGTGTGAACACAAGGGGGGGGGGGTATGCGGGGTATGTGCCCATGGCGGCGTGTGCTCACACCTGTTTTGTCTGTGCCCACGCAGGAGCTGCTGTCAACCTGACGCTCGTTACACCCGAGAAGGCTATTAAACTCGCCGCAAACGACGTCTTCCGCCAGCTTCTCTCCCGTGACGGGTGAGCATAAATTCGCCGTAGATTTCCACAAGCGACCTATTCAGAAGTGGTGACAGAACCTCCGAAATGTAAAATTGAGAGGTTTCATTTGTTCAGTGTTAAACGTTTCATGGAGCTACTTCAGCACAATGGTAGGCTTTGATGAGCATTATCTGCTGTCGGTGTAGGAACGGCCTGAGCGTGTGGCGGGAGATGGTGGCAGGCTGTGGAGCCGGCGTCTGCCAAGTGGTTGTCACCACTCCCATGGAGATGCTCAAGATCCAGTTACAGGACGCAGGCCGCCTGGGCAAGTACCCCACCCCCCAACTTGTAATTTCACTCCCTCAGTCATGCTCTCACAAACATATTGCACGTCAATATCGGTAGATTTTATAATATGTAGCGGAATACACATCTATGTACATGAGTACATGGCCCAACACTTAACAATGTTCCGCATGCGGGCTTCGGTTCTGGCTCCAGTTTCCGCCAGTGGACGTTACGTGCCTTGTGCTGTGCCAGCCTTGCTCAAGTGCATGGGGGTGGGTTTTGGTTAATTAAACACGATACACTGGATGGTAAATCCACACCAAATGAGCCACACCAAGATAATGGAGTTCTAGGCTATGCACACAGACTAACTGACACTTGCACAAACATGCTATGCTCAGCACCCGAGCCACTGTTTTTATTTGTCTTTAAGATCTCAGCACTTGGTGATATATTAAACGTTTTAACTGTAAAGAATAAGGTGGGAGGCCTGTATTGTCCCAATGTGTTTACACACGTAGTTAACTCATTGTTTGAAAGTATACTTACGTTTTAACTCTTGTTTGAACATAGATTTTGATCCTATGATTTGGGGCAATGTTAATTTTGCCCAAGAAGCATTGCAATGTGTGCACACTTTGGGGTAACGTTTAGTGACTGCTTCACCACAGTGGCACAGCAGAAGCTGTCTGCAAACATCTCTACAGCTGGACTGGGGAGCGCAAAAATGGGTGCCGTCACCCCAGTGCTAAGCCGGGCCTACGTGGCGCACTCGGCTCCGCCGCCACGCTCTGCGGTGAACATCGCCCGCCACCTGCTGCACACGCAGGGCCTGGGTGGCCTGTACCGTGGACTGGGCGCTACGCTGCTCAGGTAGTGACAAAACCTCAACGCATTCGTCAATAACACTGCTCTGTAATGGAAAATATACGTGTGTGTGTGTGTAAAATAGGTGACGTTTCAGGCAATTACCATTCTTAATAGCGCATAGGGAAATTGGAGACATTGAATAATAGTTGTAATCTGCACTGTATACCATATACACCACGGGGCCCTAATTTAATTATAAAAATGTTGCCAGTTGAACAGTCTCAAATTGGCAAATGAATGTGTTACCCTTTTCTGGTATTTACAAACCCTTCACAATTTGAAAAGTATACGCATGCATTCCATTGTATTAAAAGTAAAACCCTGAGGTGATGACAAACACCATCGCATTCACACACAGCAGGCTGTGAGGCGCTAGCTGTCACGCTTGTTAAATGTGCCCGAGGTTAAACCTATCGTTAATTCTGTTAGGTTCTGATCTGTTGTACTCGAGCAGGAACTGCAGTGGTGGTGGAATGGTTGGTTCCTTGCAATTTGGAGATCGCCGATTTGATTCCATATTCTGGCACGACAGGGAAAAAATGGTACAGGTTTCTCAGACCCCCCCCATCAACCGCTTGTCCACCCAGCAGTCTAATGGGTACACCACCGCTGATGAGCAGGCCATGCATGGTGGGGTAAAGCGTAGGTACGGTAAGACATCTGGCATGCATGAAAGAGTAGGCCAAATACAGCAAATCCTCATGAAAGTGCCACGTTAAGCGTAAAACTCTGAAAGCAAAAAAAATCCCAATAAATAATGCAACAATCAAGTTTGGCAAGATATGATGCACGCACACACAGTAAGATGACGGGACAAGTTGGGGTATGCTACAGCGTTACTTTAACAGTCCGTATACTGTATCACTCCGCTCAGCTGCGCAGCTCGAGAAAGTAGTACATTGTCGACTGTAAAAGAAACGTGTTTATAACGGTGCGCATCCCACGTTATAACGGGAACATTCAGCGTGTGTGCCCTAATGGAAGAACTGCATAGTGTGAACACGCGCTAAGCGAGGTCTCGCCGTATCCTCTTCAGAGTTCGCTCTGGTGGAGGCCAATTCTGCCAGCAGCGGCGTGAGCGCCCGGTTGCAGGTCGTACCTTTACCTGTTACTCGAGCAGTGGAATTGTCTTCGTCTAACATTCATGCTGCATTTAATGACAGTGTTGTAACAAACCTGCTGCTGTGCTGTGCTTTGCTGTCTAGGGATGTCCCCTTCTCTATCATCTATTTCCCACTGTTTGCCAACCTGAACGAGCTGGGCCGGCTGGCTGGCGAGAGTGGCCTGGAGGGCAATGCCCCTTTCTACCACTCGTTCCTGTCGGGCTGCCTCGCCGGCTCTGTGGCGGCCGTCAGCGTCAGCCCCTGTGACGGTGAGGGCCGGCCACGCTCCTCCAACTTCGGCACTCGTTCTCAGCCACGGCTCGGCTCACAATTGGCTCTGGCTCAAATGAGTCGGCTCACGGCCATGCTTAAATTGAGCTTGGCTCTGAGCCCTACTGCTGAGCCAACTGATGAAATGTGTTTACATTTGATATGTATTTAAATATTTAGTTTTTAAAAATTACTCTATAATCCAGGTCACCCTCAAAACAAAGAATGCTGTTGAACATTTGTGTCTCTTTTTACTTTTTCCATAAATTATAATGTGGGTGCTGCTAAAAACAGGCTGCCCCAAAATTCATGAACATCTCGGTGCACTCATACAGCCTGTTTCACTTACGATCACAGAAATGTTGAATACCCATTCCATGACATAAAAATTACTTTGGACACCATTTGGGTTTGGTGCAGAATATGATAAAGTAAGTAATAAAATAATAAAAATAAAACATAATAAAATAAAATAATTCTCACGACGTTTCGGCTACAACGCAAGCAGCCGTCTTCAGGTGAAGAATGAGACACTATCAAGCTAGGAGCTTATATATACCAAGTCACGAAAGCTTTAAATCGAAATGATAAAGTAAAAACTGAATGTCCATGGATTATGGAGTCTGGATTACTACTGTAGTTGTACCCGTATGAAACGCTGCTCTGTATTTGGTGTGCAGTTGTGAAAACGCGCTTGCAGTCTCTGCACAAAGGCGCCAGTGAGGAAACATACAGTGGCATCGTTGACTGCGCCAGGTCAGTCGCTGCCACCTCCGCATGGTGACATCTGCAGTATTTTCTTTACTTGCTGCAATTATCCTACCGTTATTGAATGTGTTTTAACGCGTTATAGTCTTCTCAAGTTGACCGTCTGTTTGCGTCGCTGTCGTCCGCAGGAGGATCTGGGTGAATGAAGGACCGGCGGCCTTCCTGAAGGGTGCCGGCTGCCGTGCCCTGGTGATCGCGCCACTCTTCGGCATCGCCCAAGTTGTCTATTTCCTGGGGGTCGGAGAAACCCTGCTGGCTGCATTGAACGAAGCTCGGGTGTAGTCGACGCTCGCGAGCGGTGCGAGGGGCGTAGATCCTTTGCGTGGTGGTTGTGCGCATGAACGCCTGCGCTGGTATGCTTCTGAACGTTGGGGGAATGACGTGGACGCGTACGATCGGCGTCATTAGTGGGCCGTGAGTGCCGGCAGGTCGCCGGTGAGTTGCGGACGGCGCGCCGTTACCAAAGGAGATGCTCCGCTCTCGGTGGGATGAGATGTTCTCTTCCCGAGGCCCGTCTCGGTCGTCACAAACTCTTGGTGTCACCGGCACCCAAGAGGGCACAGATGCGCTGACGCTCGGAGGCAGGGCTGCCAAGTGCTTGGATGGTGTACAGCAGAGGTGTGGAGAGACCACCATACAGGAGGGTTGTTAGCTACACAGTGGGATTCTAGGAATATTGAAAAATACGTTATTTATATTTATGTCTGTCAATACTTGTATTTATCTGTTCAAAAGTTGTGCTATATTCTATGGTACCATGAACCTGAAGACAAACGCATCCAAAGATGTAGACAGTGTGAGGACCAACCCATGAGAGTTGCACTGCGTTGTGGTTGAAAGTGAAGCCAAAGACTGAGCGACACATGGTGCTGCTTACAAACCTGATTCTAGCCCAGCAGCCAGATGCTGTGTATTACTTGAAAGCACCGTAGGGAACATGAAAACGACTCAAAAAATTGGGACATGTATGGATAATTTAACCATTCCTAAAGTAATGTGCGGTGATGCATTACGAGTCCAGATTGAAGAGTTATGCAGGAGGAGCCTTACCGGACCCCACCTTGGATTGTTTGCAGTGACACCGTCGCTAAAGATTATCTCAGTATTTGGTCAAATGTATCTGCCATGTTGGATTTTTTGGGAACCAGTGCTTGTTTTACATGAACCTCAAGCTTGAATTGTGAAACCAAAAGCTACCCATGTGCACCTGCTCGATTGAGTGATGGCGCCGACATTGGCGCGAGGCCTTTGGTCCTCTCGGTGGCAACTGGACGAATGCAGCCATCGCTGTCATCGTACCCGCAGCCCGAAGCGCCATGTGGGTGGCGATCCCTTGACCACTGTAATATTTATAATTACTGAAAAATAGGAAGAGTATTGGTGCTCTAAATATCTCCAGGGCAGTCTGATGGTAATATTGGCCAGATGCTGTGGCTGAGGGATCCCCGTGCCAATCCACATTGTGGATTGCCCAGTTTGTAATTACTAAAGTAGCATGTACAGGAATATGGAAATGTGCTGACTGGGGCCCCAGTAACCGTAGGACTGTCACTAATGACACAGCCCATTACTATGATGTAACATATGTTAATGTGCATGACAAAAACTGGTATTTCTTATCGCTGCAGGGAAACTAATAATGAGACCAAAGGTGAAGTGTTGTCAGGCCACCTTGCTGTAGCTGGTGCCAAGCCACACGCACTGCTTTCCCATGGTAGACATGGTCGGCCTTGACCTTCTCCGACTGCCCTTCTGCCGTAGGGGTGGGCGGCTGCCCCAGTAGCACTGTCGTGGGTGCCCTGTCGCGGTCCCTTGACGTGGCTTCTGTGGTGGGATGGCCTTTCTGGGTCACCAAAGCATGTTCAGTCCAGCCCAGCGGCCCGCACTGCTGGCTTGGGTTAAAGGATCCAAACACCTCCAGTCCCACATTGTAGGTGTGGCTCAGCTCCAGCTTGGCTCCCAACTTGGCATGGCCATGGCATGAGCCGCGAGGTTGCTTTTAAAGACACGAGCGGCCAGGCTCTGCTCACCCGAGGAAGAGCCAAGTCTGAGCCGTACCGTGCCTAAGAATATGGGCCTCGCCAGCGCGTGACTGTGTGGACAGGCTGGTGCAGAGCGGTGATCGTGTAACCTGCCCTGTATGTTGCGCGCGTGTAGATGCACAGGCATATAAGCTTTAATACAACAGTGTTTATATGTAAGTGATGACACTTATTACACTTGAAAGGGTGACACTGACATTGCTGCCCTCAGGGCCGTCTCCTGCCCTTGTTTACCTGTATTACACCTGGAGGAAAACCATTTGAAATGCACTGCGACCTCGATCAGTAATTCTGTTTTCACATTTTGCTTGAGTGCCCTTGCACGATTTTCCTCTGTAGCCTGTCTTGTAGTCGCACTGTAATTTGTACATAGGGTCTGTCACCTTTTATATTCATACCTTATTTTTTATTTCCTTTCTGTACATGTTGAGTGCGTTTTTGCATACGTGTTGGAATAAACGCTATGTCACAACGTCTGCACCTGTGAGCGTTCTGTTGTAAAGGAGAACTCTGCATGGGCGTCGGTGGAAAACCAGATGACGTGGTTCGTGTCGGCGCAGTGTGTACACGCAGCTTTGTAAAAGCTTTTGCCTTCACGCATCCGGGTTTGCAATACACACGAGTCTGGCTTGTTTTAAGTTTAGAAATCCTGCAATGCTGCGGTGGGATGTGGGTCCCAGGAGTGTTTGTCTCTGTGGTCGAGGCAACCCAAAGTGAGAGACAGATGACTGGATGCAAGGTGGTCCGACCTTCGTGCTGCGCTACGTACGAGTTGTGCACATCGTGTTTGGATATTTTGCATAAACCTTGACAGACTTTCAACTGCCACGTTTCTCCAAAATGTTTTGCAACATTTCCCTTTTAAAGAGGATTATTGTACCCTCGATCTTTCAGTAATCCAGCAATCCTGGGTCCTAGCTGCTGCTGCTCTATCGATGCACACCACCACAATTTTATTTGTGTACCCAGGTGAGAACTGGAGCCAAGGAGGAGAGTATGTTGCAGTGGTGACGGGCTCGGTTTGGCCTGCGAGGGGAGTAGCTTCCCTTGTGGCCTTCCTGTGCGGGCGCCGATCGTGTGATGAGAACGATGGCTGAATTCGTCAGCGAAAGGATGTAAATCCGTAATTGCATGAGATGATGCTTCGCAGGTTGCTGTTGATTACATCTCGGGTTATGTGCAAACTGTGAAGTGCAACATTTCTAATTATCACTCCGTATCGTCGGGTACATTCCCCACAACTTCATCCCAGCGCGCACTCGGCCCAGCGCTGTCAAACTACAAACACGGAGCTGTGGTGACGTCTTCCTAAAGGAGAAGTCCGTTCGTTGTGTACCGATGTCGTGCTACAAATTTCCCACGTTTGAAAAACTTTCATATCGGCTGCATTCGGCCGCCTTATTATAGCTGGTGCGTCGGGCTTCTCAGCGCCTCGCCCGTCGCCCCCACGGATGGATGTCCTCGGGCCTTCTGAAATGCTCGATCATTTAGTTTACGGGCAAGCGAAACGCAGAGCTGTTACAATAGATTCCTCGTAAACTACTAATTATGTATATGACGTGAGAAATTGGGATTGCACACAACGATATGGCCGCCTACTGTGAGCCTACTGCAGGCTGTGTGCGCCTGCTTGATCGATTACCTTGAGCGAAAAGAAGGCGCCAATACCAAATATGCTCAATTATAATGATTGATAATTATGTATATGACGTGAGAAATCAAGGGACGCGATACAAGGTGTCAGTCATGAAGGGCAGGGACGCCAGCGGTGTGGTCATGAGCATGACATAAACACCGTGGAGGGGATTTCACGGCATCGGATCGGTTGTTGCCTTGAGCGTTTCAAAGCGCCGCCTGTGCGCCAAGACACAGTCGCAAGGAGGGTGATGGAGGTAATTGAAGCGCACTGCCCAGACGCCAAGTGGCGGCTTCGTGGATTGAAGCGCATTGCACACTCACGATTATGGATTCCCTTCCCCGGGTCACCAATGCTACCCATTCATTCGTACATCACCGACCAGATCGCATGATCCATAGTCACAGGTTTATGATGTGTACAAATACTTGTTCTGTCGGACAGAGCCGGCAGCTGTCTCATCAACGTGAATGGGACAGAGAGCGGCTCTGTCGCGTGGCACGCATTGCGAAATCAACACTCGCTCCAGCCAACCCCTCACCCGCCAGCCAGCCCCTCGCCCTCCATCCAACCCCTCGCCCTCCAGCCAGCCCCTCGCCCTCCATCCAGCCCCTCGCCCTCCAGCCAGCCCCTCGCCCTCCATCCAGCCCCTCGCCCTCCAGCCAGCCCCTCGCCCTCCATCCAACCCCTCGCCCTCCATCCAACCCCTCGCCCTCCATCCAGCCCCTCGCCCTCCAGCCAGCCCCTCGCCCTCCATCCAGCCCCTCGCCCTCCATCCAGCCCCTCGCCCTCCATCCAACCCCTCGCCCTCCATCCAACCCCTCGCCCTCCATCCAGCCCCTCGCCCTCCATCCAGCCCCTCGCCCTCCATCCAGCCCCTCGCCCTCCATCCAGCCCCTCGCCCTCCATCCAACCCCTCGCCCTCCATCCAACCCCTCGCCCTCCATCCAGCCCCTCGCCCTCCATCCAGCCCCTCGCCCTCCATCCAGCCCCTCGCCCTCCATCCAGCCCCTCGCCCTCCATCCAGCCCCTCGCCCTCCATCCAACCCCTCGCCCTCCATCCAGCCCCTCGCCCTCCATCCAACCCCTCGCCCTCCATCCAACCCCTCGCCCTCCATCCAACCCCTCGCCCTCCATCCAACCCCTCGCCCTCCATCCAGCCCCTCGCCCTCCATCCAGGGATTGGCTGGAGGGATAGAGGGAGTGAGAGAGGGAGGGAGAGAGGGGTGCAGGGAGGAATGGAGGCAAGGAGGGAGGGATGTAGGGAGGGATGGAGAGAATGGAGAGAGGTGGGGGGGTGGAGAGGGGGGATGGAGGGAGAAGGGGGAGTGGAGGGAGAAAGGGGGGGGGGTGGAGGGAGAGGGGGTATGGAGGGAGAGGGGGTATGGAGGGAGAGTCTCCCTACTAATCCCAGGGCTGGGCAGATGGAGGGTGACCCAGGAAGTGGATGGTGCTGAGCTTCGCCAGGACACGCCTCCACCCCCGCGCCGCGTCCTTCACTCGTATCCCTCCCCGAGCTCCTCCATCTGGCGCGCTCCCCCCGTCCCCATCGGCTCCCTCTTCGTCTCCACCCCTCTCTCTCTCTCTCCATCTCTCCCCGCGCGCCCCTCTGGCCGAGGCGGAGAGGAGCGGAGCCCCCTCGCACCCGGGTGAGTGGAGGAGATGCGGGGAGCCGCTCCCAGCGAGCCCCGCCAACCCCTCTCCCAGGCGCGGGGTACGCGGGAGGGAGATGGAGCGAGCGGGGCGGGCGCACCGCGGCGCTGTCCTCGATTTGTTTTCATCCCGGCATGTGACCCGTGCTGCTCTCTCCGTGCCTGTGCAACTGACATCTCCTGCGTGTGGCGCGCGTGTGTTTCTCTCCCTCCGTCTCTCTCCCTGTCTCTTCGTCTCTCCATTCGTGCTGCTCCGCCATCTCGCCGCGCGCGGTGCCGCTACGTCCGCGCGTCGATCCAAGCACAAACAATCCGCGGGGACCTCCACAGCGGAGACGGAGCGCGGATAGCGGCGCACTTCGCTCCTCGCGCGCTTTGTGCAGCTTCGCGTGTGCGTGAGTGCAGCTGGCAGCACCTGCCCCAAGTCTGGTGACGTGTGTTGGTGCGGCACCATGAGCTGGGTGCAGACTGCAGTGTCGACTGTCATGCCGTGTATGAGCCCCCGCTGCAAATGTCACCCAAGATGATGATAATCATAACCATCAGCTGCTGCTGCTGCTCTTGCTGCTGTTGCGTAAACAGCGCAGAGCGCGCCTCCACCCCAACATGCACGCGGTCGGACCGAGTGCAGCAAAGCTCTCTTCTCCACAGAGCTCTCTTCTTCACAGAGCTCTGCAGAGATGTCTTCACAAGGCTCTCAGAGCTCTCGGAGTGCAGGGCGCTGTCTCACTGCAGTGCGCTGTGCTGAATGCGGTGTACATCATCGAAGGAGTAGAATGTAGTTTGACGGGGTGCAGCGTGCGCTCTGTCGCTGTGTGCAGGTCTATCTGTGCGTGCACAGCCGTCTCAGACTGCAGGGTGCTGCTGTCTGTAAATAATAGCAGCCAAGGCGAGGGTTGCAGACCCAACCACGATACCCTGGCAGCCGTGTTGCTGGACACCGCTGAGCGAGGCCGGACAACTTGGCAGCATTTATTTAACAGGCCACGTCCTGCTGATGAGCACACGCAACAACAAAACACTCAACACGTTCGTCAATTACACTGTGGCCTGAAAAGGAAGCGTATATACAGTAATAAGGCAACGGTTCGGGCCATAGCCCTTTTTCATAGCACATATATAGGGTTCTGCTGATGAAGGTCCGAGAGTTTGAAGTCGGTCTCGGATTTGCGGTGTAGCTGTAACTCGGTGGGTTCAGGAGACGCAGAGGCCAATGGTGAGAGAAACTCGCCCATAGTCCACCACACAGGGGAGCCCCCCGCCCGTGGGATGGGGCCCTGCACTGCTCCCTGCAGCACCCCCCCCCCTTCCCGGCCCCCCCCCCCTTCCCGGCCCCCCCCCCTTCCCGGCCCCCCCCCCCCCCGGTCCCCCCCCTCTCCCGCCCCCCCTCCCTCCCGGCCCCCCCCCTCTCCCGCCCCCCCTCCCTCCCGGTCCCCCCCCCTCCCGGCCCCCCCCCCCTCTCCCGCCCCCCCCCTCCCGGTCACCCCCCTCCCGGCCCCCCCCCCCTCTCCCGCCCCCCCTCCCTCCCGGCCCCCCCTCTCCCGCCCCCCCCCTCCCGCCCCCCCCTCCCCCGCCCCACCCTCCCGGTCCCCCCCCCTCCCGGTCACCCCCCTCCCGGCCCCCCCCCCTCTCCCGCCCCCCCTCCCTCCCGGCCCCCCCTCTCCCGCCCCCCCCCTCCCGCCCCCCCCCTCCCCCGCCCCCCCCTCCCCCGCCCCCCCCTCCCGGTCCCCCCCCCGGTCCCCCCCCTCCCGGTCCCCCCCTCCCGGTCCCCCCCCCTCCCGGTCCCCCCCTCCCGGCCCCCCCCCCTCCCCGGTCCCCCCCCGGTCCCCCCCTCTCCCGCCCCACCTCCCTCCCGGTCCCCCCCCCTCCCGGCCCCCCCCCCTCCCGGTCCCCCCCCCCTCCCGGTCACCCCCCTCCCGGCCCCCCCCCCTCTCCCGCCCCCCCTCCCTCCCGGCCCCCCTCCCTCCCGGCCCCCCCCTCTCCCGCCCCCCCCCCTCCCGCCCCCCCCCTCCCCGCCCCCCCCTCCCGGCCCCCCCTCCCTCCCCCCCCTCCCTCCCTTCCAGCTCCCCTCTCACTCGCCTCCTCCCCTCTCCCTGTACGGCTCTCATCCCTCCCTCTGACCCTCTTCCTTTGACCTTCTCCCTGACCTCTGACTCCTCCTTTCCTTTGAACCCCCCCTCGCCGCCTCGTCCCCCTCCTTGACTTCCTCACCACACACGGCAAACGATTTTCGCATTCGGTTACCGGTTACGGGAGTGAGGAACCGGTAACCGATTCAAGCGGAATGTTTAGTGATGAATGCACCAATAGGCACGCGGGAACGCACAAACGCCACGGCGAGAGGGCCGAGTCACCATCCGCGCGGCGCGTTTGCTCCATCGGTCTCTGTTGAAGGGGAGAGACGCCGCCTCACGCCGCCCCTTGGCCTACTCCTCCTCCACGTTGACCAACCGTGCTGGTAAGTGGTGGGAATACCCACACTTTAGCCCACCGCACGCGATCTGCCCATCGACTGACTGCGGCGCACCCGTTCACGCTGCTGGGTGGCCGCAGGCAGCGGGGAGGGGGTTCAGGAACCCGTCCCGTCGTTGCGGCTGCCGCGCCGGGAGATGGAGTCGGAGCGGCGACCTCGGCCCGCACGGCGAGCGCGGTGGGGTGCCGCGCACCAATTGCACCACCGTGGCACCTGCCACGGACGCAGTCCCTTCACCGTTTCTTTCCGTTCCTTTAATGCGGTTACCAGTAACGCAAACAACCATTTGTAACCACCCCATAACCACCCCATTACCACCCCAGTCTCAACCCCGCACGAGAGAGTCCAGCACGCAGCGCGCTCGTGCGTCGTGGTGGACCGAGACGCCTGGGCCAGGGCGGGGGGGGGGGGGGCTGTGCAGAGGTGGCCCCGCGTGGCCCCTCGCGCTGGGCGGTGTGATCACTCGTGCGGCGCGCTGTGCGGTGATGCGGTCACGTGATCCACGTCATCCGTGAATAACACACACAGGGTAACACTGTGACACACACACACACACAGGGTAACACTGTGACACACACACACAGGGTAACACTGTGACTCTCACACACACACAGGGTAACACTGTGACACACACACACACACAGTGTAACACTGTGACACACACACACACAGGGTAACACTGTGACACACACACACACACAGGGTAACACTGTGACACACACACACAGGGTAACACTGTGACTCTCACACACACACAGGGTAACACTGTGACTCACACACACACACAGGGTAACACTGTGACACACACACACACAGGGTAACACTGTGACTCACACACAGGGTAACACTGTGACACACACACACAGGGTAACACTGTGACTCACACACACACAGGGTAACACTGACTCACACACACACACAGGGTAACACTGTGACACACACACACAGGGTAACACTGTGACACACACACACACACACAGGGTAACACTGTGACTCACACACACACACAGGGTAACACTGTGACTCACACACACAGGGTAACACTGTGACTCACACACACACACAGTGTAACACTGTGACACACACACACACAGGGTAACACTGTGACTCACACACACACAGGGTAACACTGTGACTCACACACACACACAGGGTAACACTGTGACTCACACACACACACACAGGGTAACACTGACTCACACACACACACACAGGGTAACACTGTGACACACACACACACAGGGTAACACTGTGACACACACACACACAGGGTAACACTGTGACACACACACACACAGGGTAACACTGTGAAACACACACACACAGGGTAACACTGTGACACACACACACACACAGGGTAACACTGTGACACACACACACAGGGTAACACTGTGACACACACACACACACACAGGGTAACACTGTGACACACACACACACAGGGTAACACTGTGACACACACACACACACAGGGTAACACTGTGACTCACACACACACACAGGGTAACACTGTGACACACACACACACACAGGGTAACACTGTGACACACACACACACACAGGGTAACACTGTGACTCACACACACACAGGGTAACACTGTGACACACACACAGGGTAACAATGGGACACACACACGCGTGCGATGTATGTTCTACTGTGTGTGTATTGTGTGGGTAATGTGAGTGTTGTGTGCGATGTCGGCATGGGATGTGGTTGAACGCTGCTGCTGCTCCTCGTTAACATTCAGTGCGGCAGGGCGCGTGCAGGGGGTGCAGCGATCGTGACGGCGATTGGTGATGTGATGTGTGACGTGATGGGTGTGCGATGTGATGATGGTGATGTGGGTGATGATGGTGATGTTTTGTACAGTCGCTGTGTAATTCCAGCCTGAAACGCGGTGCCATGAATAATGTCGCCTCGTTACATCCTGAGAATGTCCTCGTGATCATGCTCGCAGCCAGCAGCCTCGCAGCAGCATTACGGAAAATAGCGAGTGAGAACTGAAGCCATGGATACAGTGATGTGAGGGATGTGTGTTTGTATGGTGATAAGAGAGATGTGTGTTTGTGTGGTGGTGTGTATCTCACACAATTGTCACTGGGTCCTTCTAATTTTTGTGAATGATGAGAAAGATGCCAAAGCTTGACTTGTGTAAGCTTGCCACGTGTGCACGTCTGTGTGGTGTGTGTGCACGTCTGTGTGGTGTGTGTGCACGTCTGTGTGGTGTGTGTGCACGTCTGTGTGGTGTGTGTGCACGTCTGTGTGGTGTGTGTGCACGTCTGTGTGGTGTGTGTGCACGTCTGTGTGGTGTGTGTGCACGTCTGTGTGGTGTGTGTGCACGTCTGTGTGATGCGTGTGCACGTCTGTGTGGTGTGTGTGCACGTCTGTGTGATGTGTGTGCACGTCTGTGTGATGTGTGTGCACGTCTGTGTGATGTGTGTGCACGTCTGTGTGGTGTGTGTGCACGTCTGTGTGGTGTGTGTGCACGTCTGTGTGATGCGTGTGCACGTCTGTGTGGTGCGTGTGCACGTCTGTGTGGTGTGTGTGCACGTCTGTGTGGTGTGTGTGCACGTCTGTGTGATGTGTGTGCACGTCTGTGTGATGTGTGTGCACGTCTGTGTGATGGTGTGTCTGTCTGCTACATCAGAGGTGTAGAGAAATTCAAAAGGACCTACATCTCTGCTTTATTCATCTGGTCAAGGCCTATGATATCATCCATAGGCTAGGGCTTTGGGTCATGTTTCATGCTTTCAGGGTCCCTGACCTTCTGCTCACAATCATTAAGGGCCTTCACAATGGTGGCCAGGCCTGGGTAAAGCGCGTGGCCTGGAGTCGGCACCATTCTCTGTTCAGCTTGGGGCGTGACAGGGATGTCCTCTGGCTCCTGCATTATTTAATATATTTTTGAGACTGTAGTTCAAAAAGCTTTCCATGGCTGTACCGGAGGAATTTCCATCTGGTGCAGACATAATGGGAGGCAGATCGATGCATGTGCGCGGTAAAGGCATGGCTCCCTATTGATCAACCATATTGTGTATACTGATGATCTGGTAATTGCTGCTCACTCTGAAAATTAATTGAACCAACTGCTGCAGAACCTGGAACATACCATCAGCCCCACCAACACTAATCAGTTTTGTACCAGTTTAAAAGGGTAAAAACCTACTACTATATTTTGCCACTGGTAAAAGAGATCTCATAGTGTAAATGCTTACCCCGAGCTCTCAATACTCTGATATTGCACTGTGTTTGAGTTGTACACCTTCTGGTGTCATCTGGTTCAACACCAATGGGGACTAGGCTCTAAAGAAAGCTGTCTCGGGTGTGGGCCAATAAACTTCAAGGACAGTGCATATTATTATCATTATCAGAGTTGCTTCTTTTTGTTTGCTTTTTTGACTACTTGTGTTGTGGTTATTGCAAACATGATGCCTTGAATAAAGGTGTCAGTTTTGTACCAGTTTAAAAGGGTAAAAACCTACTACTAATCACCTGCCTAGGTATTTTATGTCAGGAAATACTCCACCCCCTCAACTTCCCATGAGTGATGGACTAGTCGTGGAGAGAGTGGAGATGTTGTTATACTTGAGCAATGTGCTTATAAGCAGGTGAAGTTTTTCAGCAAAGGTCTCACTCCGAATCAGTCGAGTGGCATCTTGTCATCAGCTGAAAAACACTACCTGGCCTGTCACTGCACATTAAGCCGTAGGCTTGTGAAACGTGGACCCCTCTAATGGAAAATCTGTGCCAGTTTGAAACATTCAGGCTAGCTTGTCTGCGATCCATCTTGGATTTAACCAGGCTGGATTGTGTGAATACTTTGAAAGATCTGGACACTTCCTGTTGGTGAGCTAATACAGCATGCAATGCTGCGTTGGCTGTGTCATGTAGCCTGCATGCGCAGCCACCGCATGCCGAAGCAGCTTCTGTTTGGCTGGATAAATAGGGCTAAACTGGTGTGGAATAGGTTAGAACAGATCGGTGGAAGGGTACAGGATGTGAAGCTGAGTAGACTTGCCGATGTCTGGTACCAGCCATGCCAAGATCGGTACGGCTGGTAAGGATTCTACTGGACAGTTGGAGGTAGTCACCCTCCAACAACAGCGAAGGGCAGAGGAGCGGCGCTTACAACGACGAGCAGAGTGCTGGGCAGATATAACACATCGAGTTGGGACAGTAGGCGGCACAGGTGGTGCATCTGTCATTCATCTCAAACCTTCAACCCATTGGCACCTCGGTCTATCCCATGACCTCCTGCCAGGAGCGAGCCTTCACTTGGTCTCAAAGTTCAACGAGCCTGGCACAAACGCTGTGGTGACGTCACCATCACTTGGTGGAAAATGGTGGCTGCTGTTGGTGCAGGTGGGGAGCGGTAGTGTAGTGGTTAGGGCGCTGTACTACGAACCCAGCGTCGGAAATTCGATTCCCGCGCAAGGCCAACACTAGTGATGATTATATTAACCAGTCTTGGGCCTCAAATTAGTACCTGGTGCGATGTGTAAATATCGGCATGAGGGAGCCAAAGGTGGCCACGCATGGTGCTGACCACCCTTATGGGCCGTGCCGGCCTTCATAGGTATTCGCACCTCCGATTAGCATGGTTGGCTACGTTCAATAGAAGTTCAACATGCATATACATACATGGGTGTTTGCTAGCAGCACTTTCCCCAACAGTCTGTTAAAGGCTCTACGGTCAATCTGTGTCTTTGTGTGGTGTGCAGTGCGGCACGAGGTGTGAGCTGTGACCCAGTGCACGATGTCTGTGACTTACGATGACTGCGCGGGCGTGGAGACATCAAGCGAGAGCTTCTGGGAGGTGCAGGATACACACACACGCGTGTACACATCACACAGACGTGTACACACGCGTGTACACATCACACAAACGTGTACACACGCGTGTACACATCACATAGATGTGTACACACGCGTGTACACATCACACAGGCGTGTACACACGCGTGTACACATCACACAAACGTGTACACACGCGTGTACACATCACACAGGCGTGTACAAACGCGTGTACACATCACACAAACGTGTACACACGCGTGTACACATCACACAGGCGTGTACACACGCGTGTACACATCACACAAACGTGTACACACGCGTGTACACATCACACAGGCGTGTACACACGCGTGTACACATCACACAGGCGTGTACACACGCGTGTACACATCACACAAACGTGTACACACGCGTGTACACATCACACAAACGTGTACACACGCGTATACACATCACACAGGCGTGTACACACGCGTGTACACATCACACAGGCGTGTACACACGCGTATACACATCACACAGACGTGTACACACGCGTGTACACATCACACAGACGTGTACACACGCGTGTACACATCACACAAACGTGTACACACGCGTGTACACATTACACAAACGTGTACACACGCGTGTACACATCACACAGGCGTGTACACACGCGTGTACACATCACACAGGCGTGTACACACGCGTGTACACATCACACAGGCGTGTACACACGCGTGTACACATCACACAGGCGTGTACACACGCGTGTACACATCACACAGGCGTGTACACACGCGTGTACACATCACACAAACGTGTACACACGCGTGTACACATCACACAAACGTGTACACACGCGTGTACACATCACACAAACGTGTACACACGCGTGTACACATCACACAGGCGTGTACACACGCGTGTACACATCACACAGGCGTGTACACACGCGTGTACACATCACACAGGCGTGTACACACGCGTGTACACATCACACAGGCGTGTACACACGCGTGTACACATCACACAGGCGTGTACACACGCGTGTACACATCACACAGGCGTGTACACACGCGTGTACACATCACACAAACGTGTACACACGCGTGTACACATCACACAAACGTGTACACACGCGTGTACACATCACACAGGCGTGTACACACGCGTGTACACATCACACAGGCGTGTACACACGCGTGTACACATCACACAAACGTGTACACACGCGTGTACACATCACACAGGCGTGTACACACGCGTGTACACATCACACAAACGTGTACACACGCGTGTACACATCACACAGGCGTGTACACACGCGTGTACACATCACACAGGCGTGTACACACGCGTGTACACATCACACAAACGTGTACACACGCGTGTACACATCACACAGGCGTGTACACACGCGTGTACACATCACACAAACGTGTACACACGCGTGTACACATCACACAGGCGTGTACACACGCGTGTACACATCACACAGGCGTGTACACACGCGTGTACACATCACACAAACGTGTACACACGCGTGTACACATCACACAGGCGTGTACACACGCGTGTACACATCACACAGATGTGTACACACGCGTGCACACATCACACAGGCGTGTACACACGCGTGTACACATCACACAGGCGTGTACACACGCGTGTACACATCACACAGGCGTGTACACACGCGTGTACACATCACACAGGCGTGTACACACGCGTGTACACATCACACAGGCGTGTACACACGCGTGTACACATCACACAGGCGTGTACACACGCGTGTACACATCACACAGGCGTGTACACACGCGTGTGTACACATCACACAGGCGTGTACACACGCGTGTGTACACATCACACAGGCGTGTACACACGCGTGTGTACACATCGCACAGATGTGTACACACGCGTGTACACACGCGTGTGTACACATCACACAGATGTGTACACACGCGTGTACACATCACACAGGCGTGTACACACGCGTGTACACATCACACAGGCGTGTACACACGCGTGTGTACACATCACACAGGCGTGTACACACGCGTGTACACATCACACAGGCGTGTACACAGGCGTGTACACATCACGTAATGGATTAAGGCCTGCCCACGACATGGCCACCTGTCTCGTGGTCCAGTGCCACTCCCATCCACCCCACTCCTCCTGCACGCGGACCGATCTCGTTGCTCCGTCTCCACGGCAGCTGTGTTCTTGGGAACGATCGCTGGACATCTGCAAAAAAGAGATTCCTAGCTCATCGGATTCCTCCAAATCAAGATTCTGACTCCTGTGGCTGCCGTTCCATCACCGGTCTCCTCCATCGCCCCCCCCCCACCCTGACAGGTGGGGAATTACAAGCGGACGGTTAGACGCATCGACGACGGATACCGGCTCTGCAACGACCTCATGGCCTGCATCCAGGAGCGGGCCAAGATTGAGAAGGTCTACTCCCAGCAGCTCACCGACTGGACCAAGAAGTGGAAAACGCTGATCGAGCGCGGTGAGATGCACCACAAAGTCCCATGCCGGTTCGAACCTGGCGGCAGCCCTGGTAATCACTGGTGTTTGATAACTGTAACATTGCTACGTGCCGCCTGCTTCCCAGGAGACGTTAAATATCCCCTTATGGCATCGTGTGCTACTCAATGAGGATCATACACACAAGCAATCATCGCCTCCTACTTGCAGCAGCGTTCAGATGCTCTCGAGTTGCGTGCCGCGTGTAAAGCGCTCTTGAGACGCCGCCATGGCGTGAATGAACCATCGTCATCATCGTCACACGCATCTCTCTCGCACCAGGGCACGACAGGTCTCCCTACACCAGCAAAGACAAAAATCCCCCGTCTAGCCTTAACAGACTGTCGGGCCAAATGCTGTTAGCGAGCACCTATGAAGGTGAGCACGGTACACGAGGAGGTGGGCGGCCAGCACCACGCTCGACCACCTTTGTTTCCCCAGAGGGAATGTTTACTACACACCGCACCAGGTACTCATTTGAGGTTGAGTCGACGTAGGGGAAGCCAAGAACCGGTTCAGATATTCGTTACTGGTATTGACCGTGAGTGGGAATCGAACTCGGGTCGCCCGGTTAGAGTAGATGCCTATAGGCAACACCGCGTCCTCGCAGTGTACTGACGTCGCATGCAGTGAACGAGTAAAGACGCCTGTATGTGTCCGGCTCGTCTCGGTGAAACGCCGGTGGAAAAACACCACCCATGCCATGTTGGCACGGCTCGGGTGTGCAGGAGAAAGTGGTATCGGTGGCGAATGGCGCTGGTGGTGGCGGCCGCCGCTGTTGTGGTCATTGTGTAGGCCCGCAGTACGGCTCCATGGAGCGCGCGTGGCAGGCCCTGATGACGGAGGCCGACAGGGTGAGTGACCTCCACCACGAGATGAGAAACCAGATCAACAACGAGGACCTGGAGAAAATCAAGAACTGGCAGAAGGACACTTTCCACAAGCAGCTTATCGGTGGCTTCAAGGAGACCAAGGAGGCGGAGGACGGCTTCCGGAAGGCGCAGAAGCCCTGGGCCAAGAAGCTCAAGGAGGTTCGGAAACAAATCATGGCTTTGATATTAAAATAATTGTGGGCGAAGTCCTGCGGCCTCACTTCTTGTGGCCGCAGTGAACTCGCACCACTCACGAGGGGCAATACAGAACACACGTACTAGTATTGTGTGTGTACCCCGTGTGTGTGTGTACCCCGTGTGTGTGTGTGCTCCGTGTGTACACACTCTGTGCGTGCGTACCTGATCCGGTGCACGGCGCAGCTGGAGGTGCTCAAGAAGGCCTACCATCTGGCGTGCAAGGAAGAGCGTCTGGCCGTGAGCCGCGAGACCTCCACCAAGAGCGACCCCGGCGCGCCGCCCGACCAGGCGAAGAAGCTCTCGGACAAAGTTGAGAAGTGTCGACAAGACACTCAGAAGGTGTGGGGCACAGCGTGGGTAACGGCGGGGAGAAAGGGCACGATTGGCGCCTAATCTTGCATCAAACCGACCGGCATCTGTCAAAACGGCAGCGTTTGGTTTACCAAGCCTCGCCTGCTGGTGAGATCCATGAAGTGGAAACCAGTCCAGGGTTTTGTTTGATTAAATGATGCTGCTCGATGATATCGGTCTGGAAAGCTCCGGGGCCGATGTGGAAGCACGAAACAGTTTTGCGTATATTGCCTCTCGCTAACATTGGCTCAATTACAGCAATAATGATTGGGATGATAGTTGGTGCCGAGCCATGAGGTCGTGAGGTCGAGGTGCAGAATTAATAAATTAATGGAGGGATGATGGTCACCACCCATGTGCTCTGTAGAGGACCCATTGGGCATTGTTGCTGTGAAATCATTCTGAATGTGCAGCGCGTTCAAACCGAGTACCATACGCGAGGCATTTAGCGGAGAAAGTCTATCGTGTGAACTTGTGCATGCGTGAAGGAGCCACACCAGGTTGAGCAAACATCCGTGTGTCTGCTGATGCCGCGTGACTTGATCCCCTGACACTTGTCTCACGTTGTCTTTTGAAAGTAGAATTCTCGATTTCAAGACGACGTCTCTTATCCCCATGACTACCGAGCAGCTTAGGCGTTTGCCCGTCCGTCCATCGCCCGTGCAGTTCTCCGTGTCCAGAGACTCGTTATCTTGTTATCTCGCGATTAACTCTGCGGTGGGCTGTACCAACAGTGTCAAGATTGGCCTTCTTGGAAGAGGCTCGCGAAGGTAGCTACTGGGTAGTTGAATGCAGTCGCCCTCCAGCAACAGCGGAGGGCGGATGAGCGATGCTCACAACAACGAGCAGAGCGCCGGGAGTCTAAAACACAGCAATTTGGCACAGTAGGGGGGCATAGGTGGTGCATCTGCCAGTCATCTCAGTCATTCAATCCGTGGCACTTCGGTCTTTCCCGTGACCTCTTGCCAGCAGCGAGCCTTCCACATTTCACGTGGCCTCAAAGTGCACCTGGCCTGGCACGGGCGCCGTGGTGATGTCACTGTCACTTCGTGGCCAATGGTGGTTGTGTTGGTATGTGGGGTGCTGTGTGTGTGGTGTGGGTGTATAAAATAGGAGCGTGCTCAAGGTTACCAGATGTCCTGAAGGACAGTACTTTTTACTTGTCCTTTAATATGATAAACTGTCCTTTATAAGGATGCACAAATGTCAGTAACATTAAAGCACGGGACGTGTGATGTTGCACACTGGAAAATATGGAGCGGGGAACGTAGCCGTGACTTCAGATGCAATCGCAGCCCGGAGCGGCACTTCACGCGCCTGCGTCTCCAGATGCTGTGCTCGCGCAGCGCGATGCAGGCGCCTTGGGGACACGGCCTTTACTGGCCCGCGTTCGAGGCCTCAATGCGAGTCCCTCTATGGGTCTCTATGTGAGGCAGGGGAGAACAGAACGGTCTTGATCCTGGACTTAAACATGGGCAGAGTTTACAGCACGGGACAGCAAAGGGGAATGACAGAGCTCCCACTGAGCGAGGCTTGACTGGAGGCTCCGACACGAAGCCTCGGTTGCCGGAGTGGAGGGCAGTAGAGTGAGATGAGTGGGGAGAGTTTGGCATTGGCGAGTCTATGGAAGATCTTGAAGATGGTGAGTGCGATTTTGTAGTTGATCCGGGAGTGGATTAGGAGCCGGTGGAGGGATGAGAGTAATGCGGAGGATTTTGGCAGTAACATTGTGAATGATCTGAAGTTGGGAGCCGAGGGAAAGGGACGGCTGAAGGAATGACGAGTCTGTAAATAGGCAGTGGTCACCGATGCTGCTGCTGCTGCTGCTGTTAAAGCAGAGGACATCGAGTGGGATTGGGCAACAGGACTCATCATGGGAACAGTTGATGAGAGATGAGAAGCAAAACTCGCTACGGAGTGAAGATTGAGTGCTGAGAAGAGAGGCAAAGGGAGATGGCGGAAGGGACGGCAGCAGAGAGACGACATGACACCGGAGTTGGGAGGTCACGACCGGGCTCGGAGGAGAATGTCTTTCCCCAGCAGTGGGGAGTTACTGGCCGACAATAACAACACACAACAACATTTCCACTCGTCTGCAGGGAGTTGCGGTAGTCAAATGAGGATGCGACGATGATGATGATGAGGGCTCTCCACTCACAGGCGAAGGAGCGCTATGAGAAGGGGCTGGAGGAGATGGGCCGGCACACGCCACAGTACACGGAGAACATGGAGGCCGTGTTCGAGACGTGTCAGCAGCTGGAGCTCAAGCGCCTCTCCTTCCTCAAGGAGGTGCTCATGGACATCCAGCGCCACCTCGACCTCTCCACCAACTGCAGGTGGGAGCTCGGCCACGGCTCAGCCGGCCCCCGGGCAGTCTGCTCTCTCTGGCCTCACGACGGGCCGGGTTTTTTGGTCGCCACAGAAACGGAGCGATGCAATCATTTTAAACGTTACTATTGGCAGAGTCGTGAGTGGACTTAGCCGACAGTAATTGGGATGGAGGTGAAAACAGAGTGGACGGTGGAGTTATGGGGCCGCACGCGGCATCGTACACCTGGGCCTCCAGGAGCCCACCGACACGGCACAGTCTGCAGCCTGGTCGCAAATGGGCAGCGCAGCCTACAGCCTCACAGTCCAACCTAGAGCCAGCCTCACAGTCCAACCTAGAGCCAGCCTCACAGTCCAACCTAGAGCCAGCCTCACAGTCCAACCTAGAGCCAGCCTCACAGTCCAACCTAGAGCCAGCCTCACAGTCCAACCTAGAGCCAGCCTCACAGTCCAACCTAGAGCCAGCCTCACAGTCCAACCTAGAGCCAGCCTCACAGTCCAACCTAGAGCCAGCCTCACAGCCCAGCGTAAAGCTGGACTGTGAGGCTGTCGAGCTGTGGACACAACCACCGAGCGACTGTTGGATCCCTTCATGGGGTTGCGAGGTTGGGGCGCGAGGCCAGGAGCCCGCACAGTTTCTACCTCATGCTGCTCATCGGGGTGCAGTGGTGTTGTGTCGAGTGGCGTTGTTTGTAGTGTAGTTGTGTGTAGTGGTGTTGTTTGTGTTCTATATAGTGGTGTTGTTTGTGTTGCGTGTAGTTGTGTGCAGTGGTGTGTTGTAGTGTAGTTGTGTGCAGTGGTGTTGTTTGTGCCTCGTGTTTCCCAGCTACGCTAACGTCTACCGGGATTTCCGGCAGTCGATTCTGACGGCGGACGAGCAGGACGACCTCAAGTGGTTCGCGGCAAATCACGGCACCGGCATGGCCACGAACTGGCCCGCGTTCGAGGTGAGACGAGTTCACTCCGCCGCCACAATCATCAGCGGCCACGCTCGATCCGCTGCCGGATGAGGGCCTTCCCAAGCAGCCACCAACCCTTTACGATCCCTGTCGCACCAACTCGTTGTATCACTCCGTCTCCTCGTAGGACACAACCCCGGAGCGTGTTCCCTCATTAATTTTGGCCGCTGGCCGGCAACCCTCCGAGCCGTAGTGATGCACCGTGCCCACGCCCGCTTGCGTTCGGCAATCGCGCGGACGATGTAATCCACCTGTGGTTCCGCCACCGTGTGGCTGATTTGAGCGGTGAAGCAAATCCATGGTCGTCCATTGATAGTTACCCCACTCGGATCATAATCTGGGGAAAGAGCTCCGGCGCGCGCCTTCGGGCTGCGCCGCCGCACCGTCCGGCACGACGTCCGACGTTTTTCTCTACGCTCCAGAAGATATAGCCGAACATGCCATCTCTGGACGGTGAATCCAGTGTGCGAACCGTTGCCGTGGAGGTGCCCGTTGTTCGTAAAAAAATAAAAACCGAGAAAAAGAGAGCGACGGGATCGCAAACACGGGGATGCGTGTTTGTGGGCGGCAGGAGTACTCGCCGGACGCTCCACAGACCACGAGCCGCAAGGAGAAGGGGGGAGGGCTACGCAAGACGGCCGAGGGGGGGGTGGCGCAGGGCCCCACGGAGTCGCCCAGCGTCCACGGAGGCTCGGCACGGTGAGAGCAGCGCAGAGACACCCAGAGCGGAGACGCCCAGTGTAGAGAGAGACACTGGAAACAACAACAACAAGCACACTCGGCACAGCAAAGAGCAATTGCACACATACCAACCACACCAACCATAGATGTACACCCACTACTCGCACTGAGCAGGGAAAGACACACGCACCACAGTTATATTACATGCTGCGGAGACATGCGCAACTACAGCCACACGCCTTAAATACAAAAAAAAATGCAAACCTTGTCCAAGATCCCACAAGTTAATCTCGGTTCCCTGTGCCATCACTCACTGCGCATTGCACAACTAAATCACGTGCGTATGTGCGCGTGTGTATATGTGAGCTACGATGCGCCGGGCGGCTAAAATGCAGCAAGTTGAGACAGTAGGGGGAACAGCTGGTGCATCTGTGAGTCATCTCCGTCAGTCAAGCCATGGCACCCCTGAGTATTTTGCGTGCTTTGTCAGCAAGTCTTTGACATTTAACGTGGCCTCAAAGTGCACCTAGCCTGGCACAGGTGCCGTGGTGACGTCACCGCTACTTAGAGGCGAACGGCGGGTGTTGTTGTACTACAAACCAGGCGACCCAAGTTCGATTCCTGCTCACGGCGAACACCGGTGACGATTATCTGAATCGGTTTTGGGTCTCCCCTAGGTCGACTCGGCCTTAAAGGAGTACCTGGTTCGGTGTGTACATTGTCACTGGGGAGACAAAGGCGGCCGGGCAAGATCCTGGCCATCTATCCTCTCGTGTACTGTGCCGACCTTCATAGGTGCTGCGAGCTAGCAGCACTTGCCCCAGCAATCTGTCAAGGCTATAAGTGAGACCTTTGTCTTTGTCTCACGCGCCGCGGGTCTCAGCGCGAGCACGAGCGAGGCGTCCGGCCCGGCGGACTGGTCCGATGACGACACGCCGCTCGCAAGGGGTGGTTCTTCTGGGGGACGCAGCAACGGGGATAAGAACCCCTTCGACGAGGCGGACGGGGGGTCCGCGGCCGGCTCCGGGAATGGCGGAGGCCGAATCCGTGCCCTCTACGACTACCAGGGCCAGGAGCAGGACGAGCTCAGCTTCAAAGCCGGTGCGGGACGCCGGCATCACCAGCACCACCACCACCACTACTACCAACACCACCACCACTACTACCACTACTACCAACACCACTACTACCACTACCACCACTACTACCACTACTACCAACACCACTACTACCACTACCACCACTACTACCACTACTACCAACACCACTACTACCACTACCACCACTACTACCAACACCACCACCACTACTACCACTACTACCAACACCACTACTACCACTACCACCACTACTACTACCAACACCACTACTACCACTACCACCACTACTACCACTACTACCAACACCACTACTACCACTACCACCACTACTACCAACACCACCACCACTACTACCACTACTACCAACACCACTACTACCACTACCACCACTACTACCAACACCACTACTACCACTACTACCACTACCACCACTACTACCACTACTACCAACACCACTACTACCACTACCACCACTACTACCAACACCACCACCACTACTACCACTACTACCAACACCACTACTACCACTACCACCACTACTACTACCAACACCACTACTACCACTACCACCACTACTACCACTACTACCAACACCACTACTACCACTACCACCACTACTACCAACACCACCACCACTACTACCACTACTACCAACACCACTACTACCACTACCACCACTACTACCACTACTACCAACACCACTACTACCAACACCACTACTACTACTACTACCACCAACATCAACCACTACTCTTACCAACACCACTACCACCACTACTACCACTACTACCAACACCACTACTACCACTACCACCACTACTACCAACACCTCCACCGCTACTACCACCACCTCCACCACTACCACTACTACCAACACCACTACTACCACTACCACCACTACTACCACTACTACCAACACCACCACCACTACTACCACTACTACCAACACCACTAGTACTACTACTACCACCAACATCAACCACTACTGTTACCAACACCACTACCACCACTACTACCACTACTACCAACACCACTACTACCAACACCACTACTACCTCCACTACTACCAACACCACCACCACCACTACTACCAACACCACTACCACCACTACTACCACTACTACCACTACTACCAACACCACTACTACTACTACCAACATCAACCACTACTGTTACCAACACCACTACCACCACTACTACCAACACTACTACTACCACCACCACTACTACCAACACCACTACTACCAACACCACTACCACCACTACTACCACCACTACTACAACCACTACTACTACCACTACTACTACCAACACCACTACCACCGCTACCAACACTACTATTACCAACACCACTACCACCACTACTACTACCAACACCACTACCACCACTACTACTACCAACACCACTACCAACACCAACACCACTACCACCACTACTACTACCACCACCACTACCGCCACTACTACTACCTCCACTACTACCAACACCACTACTACCAACACCACTATTACCTCCACTACTGCTACCAACACCACTACTTCCACCACTACTGTTACCAACATCACTACCTCCACTACGACCAACACCACTACTACATCCACTACTACTAACACCACTACCAACATTACTGCTACCAACACCAATACTACCAACACCACTACTACCACTACCAACACCACTACTACCACTACCAACACCAATACTACCAACACCACTACTAACTCTACCAACACCAATACTAACACTACCAACACCACTACTACCACTACTTCCACTGCTACCAACACCAATACTAACACTACCAACACCAATACTACCAACACCACTACTACCACTACCAACACCACTACTACCACTACCAACACCAATACTACCAACACCACTACTAACACTACCAACACCAATACTAACACTACCAACACCACTACTACCACTACCTCCACTGCTACCAACACCAATACTAACACTACCAACACCAATACTACCAACACCACTACTACCAACACCACTGCTACCACTACCTCCACTGCTACCACTGCTACCAACACCACTACCAACATTACTGCTACCAAAACCAATACTAACACTACCAACACCAATACTACCAACACCACTACTACCAACACCACTGCTACCACTACCTCCACTGCTACCACTGCTACCAACACCACTACCAACATTACTGCTACCAACACCAATACTAACACTACCAACACCAATACTACCAACACCACTGCTACCACTACCTCCACTGCTACCACTACCTCCACGACTACCACTGCTGTGGTAGTCGTGGAGTGGCGAGTGGTCGTGTAGCGGCTAACGCTGCACCGCGCTACAAATCCACGAACCCAGTTCGATTCCCGCTCACCACTAATAACGGTGCTAATATCTGAACCGGTCCTGGACTTCTCCTAGGTCGACTCGGCTTTGAAAAAACGAGTACTTGGTGTAGTGTGTACACATCATCAACGGGCAGAAAAATACGGTCGGGCATGGAGCTGGCCACCCACCCCCTTGTGTGGTGTGCTGGTCCTCACGAACAGCACTTGCCCCTATGGTCTGTTAAAGGCTACACTGGGTATCTTTGTCTTTGTGCACCTGCGCAGGCGACGAGCTGACCAAGCTGGAGGAGGAGGATGAGCAGGGCTGGTGCAAGGGCCGCATGGACGATGGGACGGTCGGTCTCTTTCCTGCCAACTACGTGGAGGACATCTGAAGCCCCTCCAAGCGACGCATGGGCACCGCCCAGCGGTGTCCGTGCCGGCGGCCTGCACGGATGCACGAGCTGAGCGTGCACTTTCGTAACTCGCAAAGCCCCGCGTGCGTGCGTGCAGCGTGCGTGCGCGCGTGTGGACGTGCACGGATGTACACACTCGGAGTGCACGTCCACGCGTGGTTGTACGTACTCGCTGACCTGAAGGGGATAAACACGACCGTGTACATGGACACACACCACACATCTGTGCAATGGAACATACGCCCGCACGCACGAACAGTGGCCGCACCACTGCCCCTTCCGTGCTGGTTTGTCCAGGACTTAAATACAGCATCGAATACTGCCATAGTCACAGCCTATTCACCTGTACAGAACGTAGCTGAGGTAATTTAATATCGGGTCGCTGGAATAGAGGGGTTTATTTGCCCAGTAGCTGGGGAGGAGGCGCCGCACGTCGGAGCCCCCCCCTCCCCCCCCCCGTGCTTCGTGTGCATGAATGGTGCGTGGCTTGTGACGTGTGCTGCATGACGTCCATGGTGCTTCTTGTCTCGAGCGCGCGCGCCGCGCGCACACCCTCTGCACTTCCAGTCCCGCGGGATCCTAACCCCCTCGGGGGTAAAGGTGCAGCCGCTGCAACCGCCGACTCGCGCCCCTGCTGGCGGAAGGGGCCTCCGCCAGGGGGAGTTCCGCGCGGCGTGAGGTCCGCCGGGCCACGACGACCACGCGTGGTGGGAGCGGTGGACGTTCCGGCGCGGTGGGGAAAGCGACTTGGGAATCGCGAGACGTGGGCGCGTGCCACCAGATGGGTCCCCGCACCCGCTCGTGAAGTTCCACCGCTGACGACTCTTATCCGTGACAAAGTGGGGGGGGAGGGGGGGGCGAACTTCGCAGATCCTGTCCGTGATCTTCCCAGGAACCGGCAGGCACCATTCTCTTTGTAGGACGCTTCCAGCTTCCAAAGTGTGTGTCTGTGGCCTACATAGGGACATGGGCCTAGGTTACACGGCAAGGGCCTCCGTCCAGCACAAGCAGAGAAAATGGTTCCGGGCCTTAAACGCTGGAGGAGCAGCACAAAGCTTTGACGGCACGTGCAGTAAATACTCTGAACATTGCTTGTGCTCACCTCCCTGGCTTTCCACATTGACATTGGGAATCCCCGTCCGTGTCACAACCGGGAGGCCCTCAAGAGCAAGTGGGGAGGCGACGAGACGACTCTAGTCGCTGGCAAAAACCAACTGCACGGTTACGTTGACCCCACCAAACCTCCCCCCCCCCATCCTCCCCCCCCCAATAAGAAATAGCGACACGCACAGGGGTGCTGCTTTCAAACAGCAGGAGGGTCCGACTCCCATCGTGTCTTGCGTGCACGTCACGTGACCCCCACATTGCATGTGCAGTACTCGCTGCATGTTGGGGTGGCCCCATTGTTCAACTCTGAGTTACAGCCATACTTTTTTCAATGGCGATACACCCAAACATGCAGCCCTTGAGCGGGTGGTCTGGACAAGGCTGAGCGTATTGCGCACGCAATGTGCTGGTCACATGATATGCACACAAGGCACTATGGGAGTCGGGTGGTGAACAGCATACCTTTGTGTTTATATATGTATGTGGTGATGCAGCGTTGGCAGTGGTGCACAAGCATGTATAACAACGCCCTAAATGGTGAATAAGACTGGCCTTAAAATGAATAATACAACATACGACGTTTCGTGCAATCGTCCTTAATGGCACACAGATAAAGAACGAACGTCGCCTGTTGTGCATCGTTTTTCCTTTCAAGACCATGGCGTTATGAACGCACGCGTTGGGTTCTGTGCTGTGTGGACCTTCCTGCTGCGAGGGGATTTCCCATCGTTTACCGACAGGATGGCCATGGTCGGCCGTGGACGCGGGCCCACGCGGCCCGCGTCTACGTGTGCGGCGGTGACGCGCGGCCAAGGGGCCTCCGCCCTGGAAGCGGCTGTCGAAAACCGTTCCGTGCGCTTTCACCCTCCCAACACGTGTTATTTTTATTCCATGGAAAAGTCACTTACACTTTAGTCCATAAGTGTGTGCAGCCGCACACTTCTCAGTGCCCAGTCCACACTCCTTGCTTCAGAGGCCGCTTCATGGACGTGCCATTTGCGTTCAGAGTTTCTGCGGCCGCTCCGGGCCGAGTCGGTGTCGGGGCAGAGGGGCGCGACGCTCCCTGCGGCTGGGATCGGGGACGGGATGGAATACAGGGAGGTCACTGCGGTTTGCGTCCTCGTTCTAGCGTTATTTATATTGATCGTGAATGTGGAATGGGTTCGTGTTCGATGGTCCCGGGTTGTTGTGGATCGGGTTTTGGGGTTCTTGCCGTCGAGTTGGATGGCCGCCGTGTGACTACACGGGCAGCGAAGTGGCTCGCACTGTCGGGGTCGCAGACACGACAGGAGTGGGATTTGTGTTATTGGCTAAGGGTTCGTGCATTGGGGTCATGGTTCATGTGATGAAGTTCACGTCTTAGGTTCAGGGCTTGTTCTAGGGTCGGGGTTTGTGCGTTTAGGGTTAGGGCTTGTTATCGTGTGAGGATTCACGTTTTGGGATTCCGTAAGTCGGGCAGGGCATTCTCAATTAGAAGTCTTCTCATTGTGACGACCACTCTGACCCGCCAGAGTGTGGTGAGCATGAGAGTGTTCCACTGAACTGTGCTTGTCTTTTCCACAACCCCATGACGACATTTTCTCTGTTAACGTCTGTGGTCCCGGTCACCTCGACCCCCCTCCCCCGTGCAGCCGTGCTCTGTAGTTCGTGATCGCCGTAGATTGAAGCAATACGTTGAGTAGTGCCGTAGGCTCGTCCATGTGCTCGTTTTTTGCTGTAACTTTACCATTAAATCTATAAGAAATGTGATAAATATAAAATACAATTTCTTGAGTATATTAAAGTGATACATGAGAGATGATTTGCTGGTCAATGTGAATTATAATGAACAATGTCGTAAAATAAAAATTTAAAATCTGTTCGTGTGGAGGCTTTAGGGTGGATTATCAGGTCAAGTATACGACAGGATCGTGACTGGTGGTGGTGGTGGTGGCGGCAAGTGCCTCGGGGAGGCCTTCATCTAGCAGTGGATTGACCACGTCTGACAATGTCACGGAACATCCCCGGCCGGCACTGCAGGCGCTCCGCTTGATGCAGCGGGGGACACCGCACCCCGGCGTGCCGAGCCGGGTGGGGACACCGGCAGCTGCGTGCCGGGGCCTAGAGCGGCTTCACGAACTGGTAGACGAGCCTCTGGGAGATCTCCGTCTTGCGGATGATGCCCTTCTTGTAGTACTGGCGGATGGAGCGGCTCAGCTTGTCGTAGTTCATGGCGGGGCGGTTCTTCCTGATGCCCCACAGTCGCGCCACCTCCACAGAGTTCTCGATCTTGAAAATTCCTAAACAACAATAACAACAAAGGCCGCGTTCCTGCACAATCCGCTGCGGCCGTTTCACCGCCACTTTACGGTGGTGACAGGACGAGGGGTGTTTTAGCCACGGCTATCCTCATGACATTCACCAGATTTCATCACCGCTCGGCTGCAACCGAAATGGTGCCTGCCCATGCCACAAACCGCTCCGTGGGGCGGTGACGCGGCCTAGCGGGGGAATCCAGCAGGCAGCCCTGGCTAATTTTGCGAGTGTATCGACCATGAATACGCACCGTCTCCTTGACGGTGGACGTTAAAAGTTGTGGTATATTTTGAATTGAATAGACCATTGTGGGCTGGTGTAATGGTCCACATTTTAAAATAAACACATTGACAGACTAATTCATTGCGATGGCCTGTAGCAATCATCACCCACTCCTGACTCATGCAGACGGACGACTGCCACTGGGGGTGCCTTTGGAATGTTGGTGGTGAGATGTGATGCAAGGCGCTGTGAGTTGTGAAGGCATTTGAGCGGTGCCGGTTAAATGCAAGAATAATTGTGTTGTTATACCACAGGAGCGGTTGGGATATCTCCATGGATGCTGGAGATGTCCCAACTCCCCAAAGCCCCTGAACTGTCCTCACAGCATGACACGGGAACTGAGAACACGCGTGTCCCGTGTCGGAGGAAGAACAGAGCCAGTGTATGGGTCTGGGGTGGAGGGTGCAGGAGTGGGAGGGGTGTGAGGAACGTTGTACGTGCGTCGGAGTCGGCGAGTGGTACCACTGCACCTTTGTCACGATTCAGCCAGCGGATGAGGCGGCTGCCATCGCGCGGGTTGAGAAGCAGCTCCCACAGGAACTGCCACAGGTGGATGGGCTGTGGGGGAACCGGGGGCTGTGCCCGGGGCGGCAGCTCGGGGGCTCGGGTGGGTGTGGGCCCCTCCGTGTGGCTGCTGCCCGGCGGGGCTGAAACACAGGTGAGGGGCCAGGTGGTGTCAGCTGTGACCCTCTGGACGTCGGTCGACCTGATTGTGTTTGTTCAGTTCAGTTGCTCTGGCGTCGCGATGATTGCTGCTGCTGTGTCATCCCAGTTTAGTAATTTGCGGTGCATTTTTTTTTTCAAATTCGGAAAATGTTAACCTTGATACCGACACACAACCGTCTACTTACTCCTCATTTCGAATGACGTCACGATATCTGTAACGTCGACTGTGAATCATACAGTGCGTAGTATTTGAAGGTTAATGCACCGCGGTATTAACCAGGGTGACCTGCCAAATATGAACCGCGAACCTCTGCAACGAGCGGTAAACGCGCTCCTTCTGGGGAGCGCCACCACCCCTGGAGTTGGCCATTGTGTGACGATGCCCTATCTGACATTGAAGCACTCCTGGGAAAGTACCTAAATCAAAAAAATCACAAAGACAACTGATTACCAAAGAGACATCATCGTCAATGTGTGACGATCGCGGCGCGATTGTGCTCACCTGCGCACTTGTGGCTCGCGTCCCACGTGTAACCTGTGCCTCCGGCTGCTTGGTCTGTTGACACAAGTTACGCGTTCATTAGTCAGACCGGACGACGGAAGCGCACAGCCCAGGGAGATTTGCCATCTTGCGGTCTTCCTTAGAAAAGAGGCTTTTAGTCTTAATCAGCTCTTAACTGAAAATGTTTTTTTTGTATTGACGAGTTACCAACATTTTGTCAGCAGTGGTAACACTCGTGCCCCTAATGGCAATAAGTCCCTGGGTTCGATTCCCAACGCGGGTGCCTCTCTGTGTGGAGTCTGTGTGGAGTCTGTGTGTTCTCTCCCCCTGTTCTCCAATGCATTGCAACTGATGTTTACCAAAACACACCCCAATGCTGAAAAATAGCCTGAAAATTAGTCAATGGGAATTTCGCACAACAGCAACATCGCCCGTACTGCAAAAACCTGGCAGGATCCTCCTGAAAAAGAGCATTGAGAGGATTTCCTGGGTAAACAAGTGTAAAAAATAACAATAATTAATAACACATGTCATATACAACACATATTTGGTTGGATTTAATGTATGCCATATTTGTTCAAGCCTCTAAATATTACCGTGTTTCATGCATATGGAGAGTTTAAAGCCATGCGTTTAAAGTCATTTCTGAATAAATTACACATTGATAAATATTGCATACGTAGCTTTCAGCAAAATACATTTAACACCACAAATGAGCCATTACTACCTGTTTGACAGAGAGTGGTGCAATGACACAAGCCACAAATATTTGACCGCAACCACAACAGAGGGATATTTCCAGAGTCTCGTGATTACATTTGGGTGCGAGGAGGCAGCGTAAATGGGCCGTGACAAAGCCGAGTGGGCACGCGTTCGCCGCTCGTCGCTGCAGAGATTCGCGGTTCGAATCCAGCGGGGCGCCCTGGTCAATACTGGGGGTGTATTAGCCAAACAAGACAGCAGACGTTAAAGATCCCGTGACATCATCCAGTGAAGTGGAGCGCATTCTGTGCTAGAGCCATAGTTCACATTTTAAAAATAGCCTCACAAAGCGCTTAATTGCAAAAACAAAGTAATTGTTGCCCCCTACTTTGAAAACACAACAGGATTTTCCTAAAAAGAGTGTCGAGACACAGTGAGGCTTCTCCTGGATAAACCCGTGTCTTTAAAATCACGTACGATGGTGGTGAGGTGCTTGCGGCCCGTGCCAGGGTAAATTAAGTTACATTTAACTTTTTATTTTCGCAGCAGCAGCAGCAGCAGCACACAGTTGCACATCAGAAAGCAAGAAACAGTCTCCACCTCGGTGATGCGTGCAGGTGGATTTATCAGCAACCTGTGTAGAGGCATTGGCTGCATCAGCTTCCTCCACTGGAGCTCGGGGCAGAATGCCACATGGGACCCCCTTATTCATTAGTGGCTAAACAGGCCCATTGGGGGCGGGGGGATCTTTGTGTGAGGCCCAGGGCACTGGTGCGTTACACATTTGCTCCGCACTCCAACTATCAGTCACCTGCACGCGTCACCGCAAAGCGAAAAACCCGAAACGGAGCAGCGCTTCCCTCCTCCCAGGCCACCGGTGCCGCTGTTGTCCTGCGCGGGGTCACGGAGGTCGCGATCGTCGGCGTGAGGTTCCCTGTCGAGCCCCGCGCCGTATCGTGCCAGGTTCGAGTCGTGGGCAGAAGCATCCTGGAGCTTGGCAGCTACAAACGCACACAGAGATGCACAAATGAAAAATGAAAACTCTCCTCTGGTCAGTGTGCGGAGACTGTGGTCACCACCCGGAACAGAACCATGGAACATAAAACAGCTTAATGCCCGATTCACAAATACGAAAAAGGAGGCATCACAGCGACTCACTAGTCCTGACACAATCATCTTGCTCAATCAGCCCAACGTTAAATTACAGCTGTTGCCCTACATCAACGTCAGCCATACGGATATTTTTTATTTATTTATTAGGTATAACCCTGTGAGCCATGCGGCTCTTGACTCGGGTGCAACCGCAACAAAACGAAAACATGAACAAGAAACATCTTAAAGTGACTACACGCAACAGAAAAAAAATCCTTGAAAAAACAGCAAAGTCTTCCAGAAAAAACACCGCATTTCAACGCTCTGTGCAAAAATCCCAGTGGGATGCAAGTCAAACAATAACAACCATACGACAATGCAGATTAAAGTTATCAGGTCAACTCTGTACTACAACAAACATGGCCAATACTCTTAGGTTTTTTCGGTAAAGTCACGTAGGGTAAAAATAGATAATAAAAATAAAATAATAGAATTAACAATAGAAATAAAAACATGGCCAGACCAAACGGAGAAGCAGGAGAAGACAGCTGGGACCTTTGCTCCCAGATGGGGCTGTTTCCCCTCCACGCGGGACGTACTACCGAGCCGGCGGGTGTCGCGCGCACCTGTCTTCCAGATGTCCAGGTGCGCGTGGAGCAGCTCGCCGCCCGCGGGGGCGCGCGCCCTGAAGTCGCCCTCGCCCAGGAGGCAGAGCTGGGCGCCGCGCAGCCCCGAGAAGGCGGCGGCGGCGCCAAGCCGCGGGGGAAGCGAGTAGTGGCGCTCGGCCCACGCCAGCCAGCGAGACGCCTCCACGCCGCACCACCTCAGCGGGTCTGCAGCAGCAGCAGCCACCGCACACACGCCGCACCACGCCGTCGATGAGGTCGCGGAGTGGCGCAGCGGTAACAACCCTCGAGCCTCACGGCAAGAAAGAGATAGGTGCGATTCTCGACTCGGGCGCCTTTTTGTGTGGGGGTTCCATGTTCTCGCGCTGTTCTGCAGAGTGAGTGTGTGCGTGAGTGGCCAACACCAGTGACGAATATCTTAAGCGGTCTTGGGCCTCCCCTAGGTAGACTCAGCCTCAAACGAGTACTCTGTGCGATGTGCGAACATCACTACTCAACAGTTTGTTAAGGCTATACGGAGGCTCTCTGTCTCTTTGTCTGTGTGGCTCTGTGAGTGTGTCAATTGGTGAGTGAGGGTGAGTGTGTCGAGATCGGGCGTTGTGATGATGATCATTCACCCCTCATATGCCGCGCCAGTCTTCATAGGTGACCTCTTAACAGCTCTTGCCCCAACAGTCTGTTAAAGGCTACACGT